GGGGGGCTGGAGGGAGGGGCCCGTCCCTAGCTCTCCGAGACCGTGTGGCACACAGAGTTCTGATCAGCACAAAATCTCTTCAGAGGCGGCGCCCCAGAATCCTCCTCTTCAGTTTCCTGGAACAGCAGGAGAGCAGAGGTCACGGGCGATACGGGATGCAGCTCCCAGCTCTGCACACAACTCTGCCACGGCCCTGGGGTCTCTGCTCACAGGGAGCCAACAGCACTAAAGGGAAGGGCAGAGGCTACAGTCCGACCATGAGGCTCAGCGGCCCATAGCATCCTGCCTGGGCCACTTGTGGCACCAACAGCACGGGCTTGCTCCCAGCAGTGCCATGCCTGGGTTCAAGACCCAGGGCACTCCAGGGCAAATGCTCGCACTTCTGAGGCCAGGCCTCTGGTTGGGGCAGCTCCAATGACCTGACACAGGAAGCATTTTAATGAACTGCACCTGATGAGAACAGCAGGCTCAAGGCAGTGACCCAGGATATTTACTGTGATTCTTTCAGGCTGTCCCCACATTTTCAGTTTTCCAGGCACTATCGATTTTGGCACTCACAGCTCAAAACTGCAGCACCAAAATGGTTGGGGAAGCTGGGCAGAGGGCAGCCCAAGTCTGTGGGGAAAGTATATTAGCTGGATGCTTCTGCTCAAATGGGCAGCAGTGAAACAGTTCATAATGCTGACACATCATGTGCCATTGTTAGGTTTCAGAGTCAACACACCAGAGGGATGAAGGGTGTAGTTTGAGCCTGTACATATGTAGGGAAGGCTTTGGTTCCCCTTCCCCTTACCTGAGTCTCAAGAGGGACAGGCTCCTCCTTCGTGAGAGTGGGAGGCTCATCTGCAACTTCCGAGGAAGGTAGGCAGGGCTCTGGAAGGGAACGGAGAGGATTACGGATGTGCTGGCCCCGTGAGCCTGCTGTTAGCAGCAAGAGCTCTGCCTGGCCTCACCGAGTGAGCCAGCCAGCTATTGCCCCCTTGGCTGCAGACACAGCACACTCCCAGCACTCAGTGGGGAGCACCATGCCTAGAGGGCATTCAGGTCTCTGCTGCCCTTGCACCATAGAGAGGCCTAGGAAAAGCCAACACCATGTTGGACACGCAGCAGCATTAACATAGCAGTGCTGCTGCAAACATGCATGAAAACAGCCAACCCAGCCATGCTTCCTGCACAGGAACATGACAGCAAATGCCCTGCCGGGGCAAGGAGCAGAAACTCACCCGGCCCATCATGGGCAGCTGCACTGTGCTTCTCCCAGGGCTCACCAGGCCCAGAATGGCTGGCTGAACTGCACCTTCCTTAGGACCCGCCCCCTCCAGCATCTCCTCTCCCAGTGCAGCTGGCTGCATCATACCTTCCAGGGTCTCCTGCCCCAGTGTAGGTGGCTGCGAATCGTCCGTGCGGAAGTCAGACGTATGTGCAGGACTCATTGACTCGCTCTGTTGGGGGCTGGGGCTCGAGTTTGGGCTGCTGTCGACCTTGAGCTGGTAAACATCCGACAAGGAGCTCTGGTTACTGGTCTCATCTGAAAAACCATCAGCATGTTAGGGGGGATGCATGGCTCACAGCTGTAGTAGCACAAGAAGACCAGCAGGGGGCAGCACTGAAAGATGGCACCCATAGAGAACGGCCCAAGGGAGCAGGGAGGATTCCCATGCCGGCAGGAAAGCTCTGCACCCACCTCTCCCTATGGGGTTCCCAAGCTGTGTATGCTAGGCTGCCCTGGATTTCCAGGGTTAGTTATATGGTCAATCCCCAGGATACCACTCCTCCAAGAGAAGGAAAGGCCCAAACATGGGAAGAGAGAGCAGGCAGAGGAGGGGTCCTGGGTGTTTGCTGAGCAAAGAGCACCTGACGTGGGAATGGGACACAAAGCTGTTCAGTAGCAGTTCCCAGGCTGTACTGGTTCCTGTCCCACCGTCTGACATCACCGTGAAGTGACTGGCTGGACCCCCAGACTCCCATCTGGGACCCCTGCTCTACCAGGTATAGTAACAAAGCACATCAGGGAATACAGGCCAGGTGGCCTCAGGCTGGCCAAGTCTCCTGTACACCTCCCCTCGGCAGGCAGCCAACCCCAGAGTGTGCATGGCCATGGGATGCTGAGGCCTTTCCACTCTGGCTACAGAGGCGCAGAGAGGACAGCTTATGACCTCCGGAGACCTTGGAATTGCCTTTAATAGAACTGGAGGAGTAGGGAAATGCCAAAGCACATCTCCTCCCCAAATCCTTTCATCACAGAGTGCTCCTAATACCTGGGGCTGAGACCTCCATTGCTCCTAAAGCCTTTATGGCTGAATACCAAGGAGCAAGACAAGCCTTAATATTCAAATCCATCCTGGATCCACCACAGACTCTGGGGTAAAATACTGGTGCTGCCTCCATTGGTCTCCACCCAGATGAGCTGAAGGGGACATGCCTCTGGGCACAGTCCCCCTTCCTGCCTGCAACCCCTGCTGTGAGACACAAAGGGTACCTGGAAGCCCCAGGACTACCCCCCTGCTCCTAGGATTCCTACAGCAGCCTTTCCAAGGAGAGGCCCTGAAGGGGCAGGGGTTGAGAGCAAGCCTGCCCCACACTCACCCTGCAACGATGGCTCATGTCCTGTGGGGCTGGGCACAGCTCCATGCTCTGGGTATTGCAACCTGGCTCATGGGGTCACAGCACCACTTGCTCATGTTTGGCCTGGCCACACTTGCAGCTGCGGGGGTCGGTGCCCCCTTGGCGGGGCGAGGACAAAGAAAGCAGCAGAGGAGGATGAGGCTGACCTATGATTTTGCACACCCCCGCCCATGAATTTGGACCCTGGGCTGATCGCTAAAAAAGACAAAATGCAGCTGGCGGGGCGTTTCGGTAAAACATTTGCGAGCCACTGTCCTAAAGTGGGACATACCCTGAAGGGCTTCATCATAACAGTGCAGGAGATCCCTGTGCCAGTCGCTGCAGGGAGTGGTGTAGGGCAGGGTGTGCTGGCTGCACGCCGCTAACAGCCTCTCCCCACAGCAGACACTGGAGAGAAGGGAGTCGGAGCAGGATAGGCAGGTATTCAAGCCCATGCTCTGTGTGCTCCTAGCTTCCAACTGCCAGAAGCTGGGAGTGGATGACAGGATGGATCACTCAATAATTGCTTGTTCTGTTCATTCCCTCTGGGGCACCAGGCATTGGCCACTGTCGGAAGACAGGATACTAGGCTAGATGAACCATTGGTCTGACACAATATGTCTGTTCTTATGTGTCAGAACAATATCCCTTGTGGAAATCTTCATTGCTCCTGGGGGGATATGCAAGACATACATACTAATGACACCTCAATATTTACGAAGTCCTCTTGGTGTGAATGGCAGCAGTGCCCTCCCCCTGCCAGCCTGTGTTCTGGGGGTAGACAGACTCACCCTGGAACTCCAGGAGGAGGGAGGAGTTGGCAGATGAGTCAGCTGGGAAGCCATTGGGTTCTCGGGCAGCGCTGCTACTTGTTTTGGACTTCTCTTTCTTGAAGAGAGAGAACATGGGATTAACAGAGTCACACTCAGCAAGCAGAGGGGAGAGAGGCAGTAGGTCTTTAAGGAGCACTGCCCTCCCCAGGCAGCAGCAACAGCACAGAGCCAGAGGGGCATTCGCCTATGGACACTGTACCTGCCCAGGCCACAAGTGCAGCGAATGGGGCTACGTCACATTACAGATGCTGTGTGGATTGCTGGGCCTACCCCCGAGTCTGAAGTCCATTGCAAAAGGAAGGTTTTGCCTTCCAGATCCTCTCTGGGGATTTCCCAATGAGCACACTGGCCAAAGATCATCAGCCCCAGCCCGTCATAGAATATCAGGGTTGGAAGGGACCTCAGGAGGTCATCTAGTCCAACCCCCTGCTCAAAGCAGGACCAATCCCCAGACAGATTTTTGCCCCAGATCTCTAAATGGCCCCCTCAAGGATTGAACTCACAACCCTGGGTTTAACAGGCCAATGCTCAAACCCCTGAGCTATCCCTGTCCCAGAGACCCCCCCCAAAAAGCAACAATTTGTTCACTGACTAGCGAGGGGCAGCCAGGGGAAACTACGCCCTTTGTTTGTTTTTCTGGGAGCCCCACGGGTTTGATCCATGCAGAGGAGATCCCCAAGACCAGACCTTCCTGGTGGGAGCTGGGATGACATTCTGAAGGGCAGAACTAAAGTCCATCCCCTTCAGCAGTGAGGCGTGGCCTCCTCCTCTCCAACCGGCACACACAATCCTTAAGAGCATTCCTTACAGCAGACCCAGCACTTACCTCCTTACTGTCTGCTACAGGCACCCACTTGAATATCCGAAGGGATGTGTCTCCCACCGTCACCCACTTCTTCTCCCTACCACCAAGCAGCAGACAGGTTACAACCAACAGAGCCAACCACCTCTCCCAACCACACAACCGAGGAAGTCCTGGCAGTTACTCAGGACACAGCCATTAAATTCAGCTCAGGATCATGCCTGTGCTGCTACTTCTGCATACACTTGCCTAGGCAGGATGAGAAAGAGTGAAACGGACACAATTTCACCACAAAACTCTCCAGAAAAGCAATAGCAACAGCAAAGGTGTGAACTCCAGTGCCCTAGGGGACCATTGAGGGCTAGGAATACAAACACTCCTCTGGAATCAGGGGTTGTGGGAACATTATCTCCTTGTCCCCCTAGAATGGGCCTTTTCCCCATTATCTCCAGAGCAGGGCTTTCCTAGCCCACTGACTTGGCTGGAAAAGAGAGGGGGTCTCTGCTCACTCAGATGCTCAGCATGGCTCTCTCTCTTTCCCAGTTTTTATACTGGCGCTTCTCACCTTCACATCACCAGGGCCAAGGTGCAATGGTGTCAAATTCTGCACTCTTCCTGCAGAGCTTGTTTGCAGTGAGGGAATCAATCCCTCCTTGCTGAAACAAGGGTTGGAAAGTAGTGGTTGACTGGGGACGGGAGAGTTAGACATTCTGCAGATGATTCACTCAGAGCAGGAGTTGATTTACAGTGGTCCGTGGGCCCTTGGGATTGTAAAGAAAACCATGAAAACTTGGCCACCCTGGCCTTCCACTTGCATGGGTTTTAACTGCAGCCACAGGTTTAAGTTTTGCTTGATCTCACACTGAAAGGCGACCTCCCGTTCACCCAACTGCAAAATGTGTGCCTGATCCACTGGGTTAGGGCAGTCCAAGGCACCTGGATGTGGTGCTGGCCACATTAAACCATTGGCTATGAAACTGATGTGCCTTAACTGTCAGCCTGCTGAGCTCTTGGCTCAGGGGAACTTTGACTAGGGGAGGCCCCCTCCATCAGTCTGAAAGTTACCCGTGACTTCTCTCTCTGACACAATTGTGAGTTCATCAATCAATACTGTAAGCTCTTTGGGGCAGGAGGTGGTATTTTGTATTAGAACAGCATTTAACACATTGTGGGTGCTACTGAAATAATAATGCAGTAACCTGTGCTATTCATTTGGACATTAAATTGAGTGTATTCCTCCATTTTCAATATGCTGCAGATTTGTGTGTTGACAATGAACAACTGCTTCCTAAAGTTGTCAAGGTGGAGGAAGCCGGAGGTTTTGGCAGGTGTGGATGTGGCTTTCAGCACTTTGCAGAGGGTGGGAGGCAGTTTGGGATGGTGGGATAATCAGGGGCCTTGAGTACCATTCCCAAAATGAAGGAGGTGATGCCCCCTCTTATTACATCCAGTAGCCCAGTGGTTAGGGCACTCACCTGAGATATGGGAGACCCATGTTTGAATCCTTACCATAGGCTCCAAAGCAAGGACTTGAACTAGGGCCTCCCCCATCTAAGGGGACTGTCTTCAAGCCATTAGGTACTGGGGTGGGAGGCTCTCCTGCAGAAGCAGTTTCACTTTTTATAAAATATTCAAATAGTCATTGTGCCAGAACAAGTATAGGGAGAGTAACGCTCTAGCCCGGTGGCACTCCCACCTTCCAGCCTCTGCTCCAATGACTAACTATTTAGCCACAGTGGAACAGCTTCAACAAGAGAGACTGACAGACACCCACTCCAGAATATCCCCTAGCCTGGTGGTTAGGGATATGAGACACTCAGGGGAAAACCCCTACTTTGAAGCAGGAACTTAAACCCATGTCTCCTGCATCCCAGCTGAGTGCCGTAATCACTGGGCTATCGAGTATAAGGGAGGGGACTCTTCCTTTCCACATACTTTTTTTTTTTTAAACAGTTTAAAATACCCCAAAACTGGAACAAAATGTTTCGTTTCTGACATTTGGAATTGCCAGTGAACTGAAAAGACAGTTATTTGCCCAGCTCTAGTCCCTACTCAGGAGCTCTACCTTGTGTAATGACCTCTGCTACTCTCCCCCAGAGTCTTAACTGCTGTAAGGACAGGAGAAGGGGGACCTCTACACTACCCCTCTCCCAGCCTCCTGGGGAGAGGTTGTTACTGCTTCTGTACAGCTCTGTTTCGGGACTGCCTTTCCTGAAAGTAGCTGCAGCCCCTACCATCACCCAGCGCTTTGGCTAAGCAGCAGAAGTAGAGTGAACTAGTTCTTCAACCGATTTAGGATTCACCGGTGCGACTTCTGCAGGTAGACAGGCCCTGACGGGTTCCGGGCAGCTAGAGAGGGGGGTCAAACCTGTAACGGACACTCTTGTGAACTGCACTGGGGGGAGCCTAGAGCAGGGCGTCTGGCTCCAGGGCAGCAGCTACTCCCACCCATCACGTTCCCGTGCCAGCTACGACCCCCGAGCCCAGGCACCGGTCCCGTCCCGGCCACAACAAGCGGCGATGCCCAAGAGACGGGTGCACCACGCACCTGCAGCTTCCCAACCCGCCGGGGAGCACCGTTACAGCCGCCAGGGGAGGGGCTTGCCAGGTACCAAGTCAGCGGCAGGGCTGAGGCCCGCTCCGAGCACAGCCCAGCCTGCGACCTGGGCCTCAGCGTCCCGGGAGACGGGCCCCTCTTTGCCCACTGCCGCCGCCGCTCCTACCCGTCCCCGAACACGCCGCAGCGCGGCAGGCTCAGGCGGAGCTCACCGTGGGGCAGGGCCCTCCCAGCCAATAACCCTGCGTAACGCGGGACAATTTGGGTCAGCGTGGGCGGGTCACCCGGAGTCCATGGTAACAAAAGAGCCCGCCTCCTCAGCCCGCGGGCCGATTGACCGCGGAGCATGTTCATCTCCATGCTTCTAAGAGGAGCACGCCTAGAGGCAGCTGTGATTGGGCGTAACCCCTGCCAATCGGGCTGCTCTTCATGTTCCCCGCCCTCTCAAACCGTAAGGAGAGGTAATTGGATGTTCCCCCCGCTGGCCCCGCCCACTGGCTCTCGAGGCGCCTTGATTGGCTATTCCCCATCGGAGTCCCACCACCGAAGTCGATGAGGCACGGTGATTGGCTCCACGCTTCGAGGCCCCGCCCCCCAGACCCCGCCTCTCACCATTTGCGGACGCGCTCGATGGCCGCCATCACTTTTTTGATGTCATCTTTGGCGCGGCTGCGGGTTTCAGCTCGCACCGAGCGGCCCGACATGGCGTCCGCAGCCCCGGCAACCCCGGCTCCGCAGCACCACCGCCACGACCCGCCCCCCGCGCATGCGCGCGACCTGACCCACCCACACCTCGCGCGTAATGCGTCAGCGCGCCCGCTCCGCCCGGGGGAAGGGAGCGTGAGGGAAGAGCACTGTTACCCAGTGCACATGCGCAGCTCCGCCCCCGCCCCCGCCCTCCTTGGTCCTACGCGTGTAGGGAGGGGGCGCGAAAACGGCCGCGATGCCACCACTTTGCGTGGCGGAGAATCGCCCCGGGGGAAATCAGCTCCTCGCGGGGAGGGACGTGCCCCCCTCTCCGCGGCGGACAACGTAGATACAGCTGAGGGTTGAAAGGTCAGAGGTCATCGCCCCACAGAGCTCCTACCCCAGCAGGCGGGCAAGGGGCTGGTGCCTGCTCTGAAGTGATCCAGCCTGGGCTGGGGGGCACCTGCTCCCCCGACGGGCCAGGCCTGGCCCCTGCTGTGGGGCACGGAGCCCTGCGCGGCAGCCAGCCCTTCCCCGGCAGGGCAGGCCGTGCCCGGCTCCTAGCGCCCAGGCAGACACTCGGCAGCCTCCAGCCGAAAGCAGAGCTGTTTCTCCTGTGCAGGGCACCCTTCTCCAACAGAGGGGCCCCAGAGCCCAGCAAGCGGCAGCTGCAGTCGACTCAGAGCGACCCATTTCCAACAACTTGCTTCCTTCCCCGAGTCGGTGAGCAGGGCAGCCACAGCAAAATGCCCCCTTCGCACGGCCTTTCAATGTGTCTGCCCAGGGCACTTTGACCATGTGGTGGCTGGGGCCAAAAGCTGTCACACACCCAGGAATACACCAATGGGAATCCATCGCTTCCTGCTAATAGGTCCCATCTAGTCCAGGGTCCTGCTAGTGATGTGTTGTTCTCTGATACCTTTGTCCAGTCTTATACCTCCCCCTAATACACTAAAATCACTTGTCAAGTTTTAGGGCTTGTTCAGACCACTTACTGAGATCACATTTCACAGACAGAGCAAGGTTCACGTAATTAAATTCTACAGCAGTTATAGAGGTGCTGTTCTCTTACCTTCTATTTCAGCTCATGAGGAAATTAGACAGTCTCACTGATACACTGACAAGTAGAGTCCTCTGAGTATGGAAGTAGGGAATTTTTTTACCAGGCTGCATCATCTTTTTTGATCAATAAACACGGTATTGTCACTTCTTTCAAACAGTGTACTAACTCTATAGCTTCACATAAAATCCCAACTTTAGCTGCAAGCACTGTGGGTCTAAGGGTTGTATATTGCCAGCATCCTTAGGATCTTGCTATTTTTACATAAAACGGAGCAAATTGAAGCCACCCTAATTTTTAGTAGGACTCACCGAAACTATAGTTGCCAACCATTCCTCTGCTATCAGCAAATATCTGTGAAACCCACTGGCAAAGAGTTCCATATCCCGTTACTGCTGGTCCACAGAGCCTACCACTGCTATCAGTCACTTACTAGCTCAAGTGGCAGAGGTTGGGATGGCAGCTGTAAAGGTTTAAATCCTGCTAATGGACAATATAGGTGTCAGTATGATGGCACATGATGGAATTTGTTTTTTTCACGTTGCTGTTTTAAAAAAACTAGGAAATTACACACAAAGAACTACATTAAAAACCATTTAGTTTGCAATGTCACATACCCCAAAGTTAAGAAATATCAAGAGTTAAGGTTGCATGCAGATGCACAAAGCACACTTAACTCTGGCATTTCCTAACTTTTGTATGCTTGACTTTGCAACCTTACTGTTCCTTTCATGTAGTTTGTGTGTAATTTCCTAGGTTTTTAAAAAAGCAAATTGAAAAAAAAAGTCCATCACGTCACATCATATTGACACCTACATGGTTCATCCTATTTCCTAATTTTTGAGTGCTTGACTTTGCAACTTTAATGTTCTTTCAGTGCTCTAGAAAACTGTGTGACTATGTGCCTTTTGCTCAAAGACTGCTTTGGTGATAAGGCACAGTAAGTAACGTAATAGTTAGGGCTGTCTGTAGGGGGTGCGGGGCCTGGGGCGGAAGTGACGAATGCATCACTTCCGGGACTGATGTGTCACTTCTGCGACTGACTGCACTAGCCAATCGCACTGGCCCGTGGGGACCCCCAAAGCACGGGGCCCAGAGCGGTCACCCCGATTTGCCATACCCTAGGGCCGGCTCCGATAATAGCGACTACTTAGTTTCTCTCCGCTATTCTAGCAGCAACATTTACAAAGGAAGCTGCGAGAACACTTTCTGAAGCAGCTGAGTGCAAAGCTGCACAATTTAGGATTACACTGTTTACAAAGCCTCAATTCAGACTAGCTGCCATCTCATATCCAGGCTCCAGGATTATTGATTGCTGCTATTTCACATATTTAGCATGACAACAAGCATTTCTTCTGCGAGCAGGAGCTTTCTGTCCTTTAAGAGCTGCAGGAAACAGCTCTCTCAGACACTCTTTAGGCACAAGGCAATTCTCTAAAAAGTCATATTTTTGGAGTTTAATGTACCTATCCTACACACACCTACATCATACATCATTTGAAAGCTTATTTGATGTACGCTTAGATGAGGAGTGATGATGTAGAGTTGTCAAGTGGTGTTATAAGCCTGTAGGTGAGGTGAAACAACGGTACCCAAAATGAAAAAGTCATTTTTTGCCAAGGTCTAAAAACACTGCAACATGACTACAAGTACAGTTTTTACTGTTGAAGGTAATTTCAACACCTTAATGTGGTGTTTGGTCAAAGTTATCAAACCACAATGTATTAAAAGCTTTTATTTGCAACCTCATGCTCTAGGTGTCCCTAAGCCTCTAACTGCCAGAAGCTGGGATTGGAAAAATTGCCCTGTTCTGTTCATTCCCTATGCAGCATCTGGCCCTGGGCACTGTCAAAAGACAGGATACTGAACTAGATGGACAATTGGTCTGACCAAATATGGCCATTCTTAATCATTTCTGAAAAGAAACTGCTTGTTTAGCATGTGTCAAAAATGGCAAATATCAACATTTTGCAATATTCTATTCTTAACTGTCAAAGTATCTCACAAGTGATATAATAGTTTTCTATATTTTCAATTGAAATTTGCTGACCAGATCAGTCTCACACTGTAGGTAGTGAACCAGTAGCAGTAGATTGCATGCCCATAGTTTGTACTGCATAGTGGGTAGATATAAATGTATGTTAATTCCTAATGCAGTGGTTCTCAAACTTTAGCAACCCGAGGACCCCCATTTTGATTTAAAAATTTTCACAGACCCCCCAAGCCCCTCGCTCACCCCAGGCCCAGCCCCAGCCCCCAATCCACACCTTCTTCCAAAGCCCCACCTCACCTCTTCTCACCCCCACTCCACCCCTGCCCCCTCTTTGCACCCCTCTCCCTCCCTCCCAGCACCTCCTGCATGCCACTGAACAGCTGTTCCGCAGCATGCAGGAGGCAGTGGGAGGAAGAGGGAGGAGTTGATCAGTGGGACCAGCGGCCCCAGACATGATTCCATCCCCTCCCTCGAGCATGCCCCATCCCTGCTCCTCTCCCTCCTGCCCAGCACCTCCTGCATGCCGCTGAACAGCTGTTCCACAGCATGCAGGAGGTACTGGGAGAGGAGTTGATCAGCAGGGCCCACAGACCCCGTGGAGTACCCTCGCGGACCCCAGTTTGAGAAACGCTGTCCTAATGTAATGCTTCTCTAGTTGTAAGCTTTTGTACATACAAAACATCATCTAGTGTGCCTGACAGAAGGTTTTGATTTGTAATTTTGTATGCATGCAGCACTAGCCTTTGAAATATTCTAGAAACTCTTTTTAATTCAGATACTTATGCATAGGTGCCAACTCCATGGGTGCTCTGGGGCTGGAGCACCCACAGGGAAAAATTGGTGGGTGCTCTGCACCCACCGGCAGCTCCCCGCCCCGCCCCTCCGCCCCAGCTAACCTCCGCCTCCGCTCCGCCTCCTCCCCTGAGCGCGCCGCTTCTCCCCCTAGCTCCCAGAGCTTCCCGCCGCAAAAAAACCGGTTACTTACCTTTCTGTAACTGTTGTTCTTCGAGATGTGTTGCTCATATCTATTCCAGTTAGGTGTGCGTGCACACCGCGTGCACGGATGTTGGAGACTTTTACCCTAGCAGCTACCCGTCGGGCCGGCTGGGGAGCCCCCTGGAGTGGCGCCGAAATGGCGATCTATATAAGCCCCTGCCAGCCCGACCCCCCTTCAGTTCCTTCTTGCCAGCTACTCCGACAAAGGGGAAGGTGGGGGGGAATGGAATAGATATGAGCAGCACATCTCGAAGAACAACAGTTACAGAAAGGTAGGTAACCGTTTTTTCTTCTTTGAGTGATTGCTCATATCAATTCCAGTTAGGTGACTCCCAAGCCTTATCTCGGAGGTGGGGTCGGAGTCAAGGAACCGCAGATTGAAGGATCGCTCTGCCAAAGGCTGCATCATCCCAAGAGTGCTGGACGATGGCATAGTGGGATGTGAAGGTATGAACCAAGGCCCACATGGCAGCCCTGCAGATTTCCTGGAGAGGAATGTGTCTACAAAGGCAGCTGATGATGCCTGAGCTCTCGTGGAGTGAGCCATAACAGCAGGCGGAGGGACATTTGCCAGGTTATAGCAAGCATGAATGCACCCGGTGATCCACGAAGATATTCGTTGAGAGGAAACCGGGGCGCTTTTCATCTGCTCCGCAATGGCGACAAACATCTGGGTTGTTTTATGAAAGGGCTTTGTCCGGTCTATATAGAAGGCGAGTGCCCTTCTAACGTCGAGAGAATGGAGGCGTTGTTCACGTAGGTCAGCATGCAATTTCGAGTAGAAAACCGGTAGGAAGATATCCTGGCTCACATGGAAGCGGGACACCACTTTTGGTAGAAAGGCTGGATGAGGTCTTAGTTGGACTTTATCTTTATGAAAGATGGTACAGGGCGGCTCACACGTAAGAGCCCGTAGTTCGGAAACCCGGCATGCGGAAGTGATGGCCACTAGGAAGACGACCTTCCAGGAGACATAGAGAAGAGAGCAGGTGGCC